TTTTTTTTTTTTTTTTCAAATGTCTTTATAACTTTGGTTTAATGAGTTAAAAACCGATAAATATTAATGTGATTTTTAATTTTTTATTGCATTTCTATGAGCGGAAAGAGCAAAACCTGGTTTTCTTTTTTTTTTTACATTGAGGTAAACATAATCGTCTTGATTGGTTTAGTTCGTTTAGGATAAACAGTCTGAACTGTGTGTCTATCTTTTTACAGCAACAGTTTTTTTAATACAATTATTTGTTCAGCCAATATTTGTGCCAATTTCTTATGATACTGAAAACTGATTTTTATGGAAGAAAGGAAACAACGACCGACAAAAATAAGAAATTGTCTCTTTTTTTTTTTCTTTTTGCTTTTTTTTTTGACCTATTAAATAGTAAAGGGCAACAAGCATCTTTGGTTCATTTCTTTTTTTCAGTTCTCAATCTTGTTGCAAATGAACGTCAAAAAAAAATTGGAAGAAAACGACAACAACAAAGAAGTGTTTGTTTTACTACAACAATGTTCTTTCACTTCTTTCAAATTATCATTTTTGTTTCAGTTTCCAAATAGAAATCGAAAGATCACAGAAGAAATTTTATCAATCATTTTCACACCTGCCATCTTTGATATTCCCCTTTCCATTCGTTCATTTTTTCTTTTTTTTTTTTTTGCGCGAGAGGTTAGTCAATTTTGATTTTTTCCTTGGCTTGTTTTACAGCAAATAAATATAATGCTTTCTATAATTATCACTAATCTGTTAAATACGGTAATCGTAGCCATTTTTTTATTGACATTTTTTAAGTGGATGATGAGAATTATAAAAAGCTGAATTTAAAAGTTGGTAAGAAGCTCAGCAACGACAAAAAAAAAAGTGCTACCTTTTCTTCATGTCTGCAGTCACTGTTCTTACACTATCTAAAAAAAATTTTTTTATTTATTAGTATTTGTTTCTTGTCAAAAATTAGCCGTGATAATTTGTTGATAACATATAGCTTTGGTTTTGTGAGAAAAGAAGCGAAATGAGAAGTCTTTGAAGATGAACGTGAGGCGGAAAGGCGGGTGTTTAGGCGAGGAGAAGATAAGGTGAGAAAAAGTAAAAAATAAGCGTTCCACAAATAAAAAAATGGAGAAAAAAAAGACAAAAAAATT